GAGGGGGAGGCGGCAGGAGGGGCCTCCCTCAGAGGCTCCAGCTCTGGGTCCCAGGAGGCTGCGATGGGGACGAGATCTTGGCGGATCTGAATGGCCGTGATCAGCGTGGAAGGACCTGCCTCAGAGCTCATGCATGTGGCTCCTGGAGAAAACCCTCAGGTCCTTGTCCTGTGGGCGTCCCCTTAGCTGAGGGTCCACCGTGTGCAGGGAGTCACCCCAGAGAGGGAGTGAGGGGGAAGTCTCAGCCCCTGTGAGCCTGACTCTGTGACGTGGCGCGTCCCTTCTGCTTCATTCTCCTCACGAGGAAGAGCCAGGGAGTCAGACACACTCACGGGGGAGCTGTCTCCCCTCCTGTGTATCCCAGAACTGGTGGAGAATTGAAAACCAACACAGTAGACCTTCTGGACACTCATTATTTCCATTCTGCCCACATGAAAAATAAGCTGCCTCCCACCCAAGGCCCCTAAAGTCTCTCCCATCACAGAAGCAGCGTGATGTCAGCATCTCATCGCGTGACTCAGGACCACGCAGAGGAGGCGCCTTGACAGCTTCTGTGCAGTGAAACCGTCTGTGCTCAGCTCCTCGTGGGCTCAGGCAGTTTCCTGCCCCACAAGCCCTTGATGAGGATACTGTGGAGGACAGACACAGGGCAACTTGTAGACCCATTTTTGTTATTTTTAAAGCAAAATTTATTGAGATACAACTTTTTTAAAAGATTTATTTATTTATTTATTTATACAAGCACTGGGTACAGTGAGAAGTGCAGGAGGGTGAGAGAATTCACCAGAGCCAGATCAGTTTGCAGAAACAGGCAGACTGACGAAGTACACTGCTGAGGGGAGCAGCGGGCGGCTGGAGAGGTCTGCGCGCCATGTGGGACCCTCCTCCGGTGGCCGGGGAGCAGCCAGAGATTGAATCGACGCTGCAGAGGCTGCGGGCAGCCTTGCAACCCAGCGCTCAACCGCTGCGCCACCGGGGAGGCCCTACCACACATTTCTTGCCTGGATTTGACTAAAGACAAAAGCACAGTAGTAAGTCATCATGGAAATGAATTGAACTCACCAAAGAGAAAGACACAGAGTGACTGGTTGTACCAAAAAACAAAACCCAACTTTATGCTGTCTCCAGGAGACAGGATCAAAACAGCCCCACTGCGGGCGACAGGTATAGGCCAGGATGCTGAGGAACTGCCAGTGGGACAGTTCACACCCCCACTGCTGGAGAAACCAAGACAGGATGAGGATCCTGCAGGCGTGATTGTATTTTTTTTTTTTATTCTTCTTTTTTTTTATTTTTAACTTCACTTTTCACTTGTAAAGACTATTTGCTTTCCCCCCCCTCAGGTGTAGTCCCCTAGAGTTTCCTTCTCCAAGGCACCCGTGCACCATCACCTCAGTCCCCTGTGCTCCTCCCTCCCTCCCTCTGGTCCTCTGCACACTGGGGATCAGAGAGAGACTGAGACAGGGACACAGAGGAATGGGGCAGGGACAGAGAAGCAGAGAAGGACAGGGACACACACAGAGAGTGAGATGAGGACAGACCAAGAGGGGGAGAGAGAACATCAGAGGGACATACAGAAAGAGAAAGGGAGAGTCAGCCAGTGAGGACAGGGAAGGAGACAGAAGAGGCTTCGCTGGCATCAGTCACTTTTGGAGTGGACACCCCATGCCTTGGGTGGCCTCGTCCCAGTCAGAACCCAGTCCCAAGTCAATACAACCTCCAGGCAGGTGGGCAGGTGTGTGAGCAGGGAGGGGTCCTGAGAAGTCTGTGGCTGGTGCGTGTGCACTGTCTGTGGCCCTGGCACTTGACTGGGCCCACAAGGCCCTGTAGGGCACGGCCAGAGAGGAGCAGGGCTGACAGGCACACTGGGTGGGAGGACAGGCACCCCGGGTGGGAGATGTCTCTGCCCCCAGCAGGGCTGGCCAGGCCTGGGTGAGGCGTGTGCAGGTGCCCTCCCCCGGGTGGGACCCTCCAAGTGCTGTGAGCCTGACACCAGCCTCCCATCCAAGGGCAGCAGAGAGGAGTGGCCCACTCCCCAGGGAGAGGCTCCACACTCTGGAGCTCCTCTGGGCCCATGGGAGACAGGAGCCTGGAGTTGCCGATGCTGCAGGGCCTGCTCCCTGGCAGGGAGGATGAGCCAGGTCAGCAGCCAGAGACCTGGGTCCCCAGGTTGTCCCTGGCTGCATGGCTCCATCCAAGGTCTCTGGGAGGCTGTGCTGCTGTCAGTGTTGTGAGATGAGCCTGGTATGGAGGGCCAACAGGAAGTGGCCCAGGTAGCCATGTGGCGGGCCATGGGGGAGCGGGGGGGCATCTGTCTGAGCAGGAAGTCCAGGGAAGGGGACCCAGGAAGTGACATCACCTCCGCGAGATGACAGGGCACACATGACCTCGGAACCCTGGTCCCCAGGCAGTTGGTTCTGAACCAAACCTGACCCAGCTCACTTGCCTGGTGGGCCTGGACCCGGCCCCACGTTTTCTTGCTGTTTGCCCAGGTCTCCCCGCAGTGGACCCAAAAAAGGTCCCCGAAACTCGTGTCACACTCTGCCGAAAGGCATGAGGAGCCTGTGCGTACGCCTCAGGCCAGCACCAGCACTGCCCCTGAGGTAACTAGGGGGGCCCTGGGGACAGGTCAGACCACGCCAGGGCTCTGATGCCCCCACCCCTCCCTTCCCCCTGTGAGTGCGGGTGTGCGTGCGGTGAGAGTGAGTGTGTGCGTGCTCCAGGAAGGAGGGTCTGGCCCACCCAGGAGTCTGCTCATGTCTACACCAGAACCAGCCTGGCTGGTGGTGGGACCCAAACCGTCATGGCTGCTCCCTCTTGCCCCAGCTGGTTGCTACCCAGCAGGTGTGTCTGTTTACTCCCAGGAGGTCTTTTGTGTCCAGGAAGGTGAAGAGATCCAGAGAGTGCAATTCCCCGACTGTCCTCCCACAGCCCAGTGTGGGATCTGTCCCAGCACAGAGCCCAGATTGAAGTGCACCTGCAACTTTGAGATTGGGGCACATGTCCAAAGGAACTGGCTGCAGTACACGAAATCCCTGGAGGAGCCGTCCGAGGGTGAGTGGCCCAGGCTGGTACATGGGCCCGACTGGGCTGGGTAGGGTCAGGTGGCCCTTGGAGGAGACCACACAGGCTAGATTTGGACCACGAGCAGTCTGATCTGGCATCTGAAACTCCTCATTTGAGGAACAGAATCCCAAGGGCCCCCTATTTTAGGGTGGTCCCTGCTCAGGGCTCTAGCATGTGGTCTGTTTGAAAAGGCAAGTGGCAATCTGGCATGTGGCTGATGGCCTGTCCTCTCGCATCTCTAGCCGCTTCTCAAGGAGTACAGTCGGGCTCCCCTGCAGCCCATGGCACAGGCCAGAGCCCAGCCAAGTTGCTGATTGGAGAGAAGCAGACACCGGGGTTGTCTCTGCTTGTGCTGCAGGATCCCTGCAGGGGCTGGTTCCCCAGGCAGGGCTGCTGTTGCCTTCGCACCCTCACTGGAACCTGCAGGATTTTGGCCAGAAGTGGCTTCCTCCCACAGGCATGGTTTGAGCTCAGGACGCTCTTGCATAGGCTGCATTCTCCTGGCCAGGGCCTGGCTGTCCCAGCAGGGGTGGAGTGAGCTCAGCACTGTCCCCATGGGGT